AATTGGCAGTTTTGACAAGCTTATCATTGAACGAACCATATCTAATAAGATTCTATTTCTTTCTTTCATCTACCCCATTATTTTGTGGTGTTCTCGAGAGGATTAATTGTAACACTTCGTATTCCTTGGACTAGTGGGATTGCTCTTGACACTCTTATTATCGTATTGAAGCCGCTTTGATTCATTTTAGAGTATTGATTGGGGTGGTATCATAATGGTAAAGTATGATTGAACGAAAAACATTGATTCGGATAATTGTCCTATGAGCAAAATCTTCACTCTTTTACCTTTTTCCCTTTTCACACTTTGAATTTGGATGTAAGGCTAGAACCATTGGAAAGCTTGATTCTGGGGCTTAGATTTAGACAATAGAATGACCCAAAACGAAGTTTGGATAAGGGAGTTATGCCCATTTGAAATTTGAGTACATGTGTTGGAAGTGTAACAACCCTCATTTCAACTTAGTCATACTTGCATACATATATGTATGATCTTGTTTTGAAATGTGCACTTGCAAATCTTGTCTTGTTTTGCTCGAATGTTGCTTGCATGCTTTGTTCTTGCCTGGTGTGTTGCCGAGGTCATCTTAAGCCTAGACACCTTCGAGACCTTTCCACACTTAGAACTATCTTGGAACCCCATCGGTTGACCTCCATCTTCACGCTGGCATATTGGCCGAGATGTCACCATCTAGGCTGAGGTGCGCATCGCCTAGGCCGAGATGTGCATCATCTAGGCCGAGATGTTAATATCTAGGCATTCTAGATCCTTGATCCTTGCATTAGTGATTTTGTTCTTGGAATGGTGTGACCTAGACCGAGGTGTGGCACAGCTTAGTCGAGTGTTGTCCTTCCAAGCTGATGTCCTTGCCCCTTGATTGCCGGAGTCTTGTTGTTAGCAGATGTCGTTACTTGCTGGAGTGCTCTTGCCGTCTAGCTTGTTGAATACACTTTGTCATGGTCTTGTCTAATCAGTCAGTCACCTTTCCGAGTAGAGCCAACCACCCGATGCCACGTGTCCCAGCAGAGGGATTAAGTCAGTGACTGTCAAGAGAAAAATATCATTTTGTATCAAATCTTGCTTTTAGAGAGAGAAACTCTAGAAAGAAGGAGGAGAAGTTTTGAGTAAGAGAGTGAGCTTCAAAGCTTGATCGTTGGAGCTTGAACCGTTAGATTCGAGTTTTGAGGTTAGAATCTTAACCTACTCTTGTTGTTCTTATTGATCATCTAGCTGCATTAGCTCAAAACTTCAAAAACAAACCCTCAACACCTCCAAAGTCGAAGTATGGTGTAATGCTAAGTGACTTAGTGCAAAAATAAGTATATATATATTTTAATATTCAAAAATTATAGCTCGAAGGATATGTTTAAGTATGGATTTAAGTAAAGATCTGGAGATAAAATAAATAAGTTATATATGAATGTATATGAAATGTAATAATATTTTATCTATATTTTTTCCTTTCCCTTTTCAACTCCCTATCTAAATTTATCATCTAAACACTAAGTAGTAATGTTATAGTGAGTTCCCGAACAAATTGTTAGGCTATGTTTGAAGTATAAATTTGAATAAGAATTTTGAAATGAAAAATGAATATGTATATGAAATGTAGGTACAATATTGAAAGTTTGCGCCGGGGGGAGGGGGAATTATTTGAAAACAAATTTTCAAAGAAACATCACATCACTTGATTACACAATTTAAAATAACTTAATCCAAGCGTGTTGTTGCTAGTACCTCACCAAGCAATCCAAGCGTCTCGCCTCCAGAGTGATTCACCTTACACCCTCTTACTTACATTTTGTGTGTATTTTTCTATAGACCTTAAAAATTCTGATGGCCAATTTTTGTATCAAATATGTCTGATATATATACACAACACATGATAGAGTTTGCATGTAGGTGGGATCCATAGGGATCTCTATCTTTTTGTTATGGGGATAAAATAAAAGACGTATATTTTATCTTGAATTTGCAAGATACAACTTATCCAATTTTACATTTAATTATCTTTTAAATAGATAATATAGAACTTCCACTAATTGTAATAATGCCCATCAACACATTACAATTAAACCCCTAAAAGTAGAGAATTAAAAGTGAGACCCTTTCTTACAATTGGTCACAAACTTCCTTCCACCAAACTATATTCCACATGAGCTACTAGGTATGGACAAATTTATCACTATAAAAAATCATAGCTCATGTAGGTGAATTCTAAATTTTTCCTTCTTCTAATTGGACCCTAAAAGCATTTTCAAAAATATACTTTTATAATTACACATGTACAAATAAAAATATTTTTATGAAAAAAGTTATCGGCCGGTTTTCTTTTGGTACAACGTTAATTGGAAAAATTACTTGAATATACTTTCTCAGTTTGAGAATGGTGGATTCCATGTTAAGCACATATATAAATCAATTACCACTCACATAATTCAACATGTCTGTGTATAGCCTTTGGTTTGGCGTCACCGATTGACAATATCAAAGTTAAATGAATAGTTAATTAATTTATACAAGTCTCTTAGGTCAAAGGAAAATAAGTGCATTGTAATAGAACTACCTTTTAAACTAACAGTGATCATTCCCTAAGTGTTCTCAAAACCGATCATGTTCAGTGCATGTACTTATTGCATAACACCCACCTATTTGCCTAAGGTCTACCTCAATGATGGAGTTAATCATTCTATCACATAGCAGCAAAACATGTGTAGGCCATAGTAGTGTGACACCCAATCAACACCCATAGCCTAGAATATCAATTGGGTCTACAAGGCACTGAAAAATCATAACTCCCAGCTTTTGGTTCATTAACCATTAGCATGTTGTTTTACAATGTTACCCAAGGGATCTCATGTTCACATTATATGTAACATTAAATATAACATTACCCAGAATAATAATATACAAAAGTGCAAAATAAAATGGCAAGCATTTTATTTAACCAGTTAATAAAGTCAACATATTGGTTTTTGAGGGCACAAATACTAACATTCTCCCACTTGCACTAGAAACCAATTACACATGTATTTAATACCCATCATCTCTAAGTGCTTCTCAAAAACCTTTTGAGTTAAGGCTTTTGTGAAAGGATCTGCAACATTTTCAGCTGATGCAATCTTTGCTATTGACATATCTCTTCTATGGATGATATCACGTATCAAGTGAAATCTACGCTCAATGTGCTTTGTCCTTTGATGAGCCCTAGGCTCAATAGCATTTGCAATAGCACCAGTGTTGTCACAATAAACAATTACAGGAGATTCAATTGTTGGGACAACATCTAGTTCTTGAATGAACTTGCGAATCCAAACAGCTTCCTTTGCAGCTTCACTCTTAGCCACATACTCTCCTTTAGTTGTAGAATCTGCAGTGGTACCTTGCTTGCAACCTCTCCAACTTATTGCTCCCTTTCAAAGAGTGAACACAAATTCAGAAGTTGATTTTCTATCATCGATATCAGATTGAAAATCTAAATCGGTGTAACCTTCAACAACCAAATTTTCACTACCAAACACTAGAAAATAGTATTTACTCCTTTTCAAATATTTCAAAATGTATTTCACTACTGTCCAATGCTCTGGACCTGGATTGGATTGGTATCTACTCACAACACTCACTGCGTAACAAATGTCAGGCCTAGTACAAAGCATTGCATACATGAGACTTCCCACTGCCGAAGCATAAGGAATATTTCTCATTTTCTCTCTCTCCTCTCATGTTTTTGGTGCCATTCCCTTAGATGAATTTCATGCCTAAAGGGTAGGAACCCTTTCTTGGAATCTTGCATTCTAAATCTTGCCAAGACTTTGTCAATATAATTGACTTGTGAAAGACCAAGTAATCTTTTCTTTCGGTCTCTAAATAATTTGATCCCGAGTATATAACTAGCTTCACCAAGGTCTTTCATTGCAAAGTGATTAGATAGCCAATCTTTGACTGATGACATTGCTCCTATATCATTCCCAAGAAGTAGTATGTCATCAACATAGAGAACTAAAAATACTTTGGCACTCCCACTAACCACCTTGTAAACACAAGGTTCGTCCATATTTTGCGAGAAACCAAACGATTTGATTGCCTCGTCAAAACAAATATTCCAACTCCGAGATGCTTGCTTGAGACCATAAATGGACCTCGCTAATTTGCACACTTTATTTTCTTCACCATGAGATGTTAAACCTTCTGGTTGGTGCATATAAATTTCTTCTTGAATATAGCCGTTCAAGAATGCGGTTTTAACATCCATTGGCCAAATTTCAAAATCATAGTGTGCAACAATTGACAAAAGAATCCTTATGGACTTTAGCATGGCTACTGGCCAAAAAGTTTCTTCATAATCGATACCAGTCTTTTGGTTATATCCTTCCGCTACTAGTCTTGCTTTGTAGGTCTCTACCTTTCCATTGGGTCCTAATTTTCTTTTATATACCCATTTGCAACCTACGGGTTTAATACCCCAGGTTCATCTACTAACGTCCAAACCTTATTAGAATACATTGAGTCCATTTCAAATTCCATGGCTTTTTGCTAATGTCTAGCATCTTTGTCATTAATTGCCTCTTTGTATGTAAATGGATCATCATCATACAATTCTGGTTCCATCTGATAAATCTCATTTAACAACGATAACTTAACTGGAGGTCTAATGATCCTTTTACCACGCCGAGGTTCTTGTGCAACAATTAGTTCAGTGGGCTCATTTATTTGTCCTTCACTTTGGCTACTTGCCCCATTCATTGAAATGTCATCAAGAACAGTTCTTGTTCTATTTTCATTGAAAATGTAATCCTCTTCTAAAAAAATAGCATTTCTGCTAACAATAATTTTTTGTTCTTTAGGATTATAAAAATAGTAACCAAATGCCGTCTTAAGATATCCAAGGAAAATGCATCTATCAGTTCTCAATTCCAATTTATCGACATTTGTGCTTTTTCACATGTGCTGAACTACCCCAATATCCTAATATGCTTTGGACTAGGCTTTTTTCCAGTCCATTATTCATATGGAGTTTTAGGAACTGATTTAGTAGGAACTCTATTTAACAAATAAATAGTAGTTTCTAATGCAAATCCCCAAAAGGAAATTAGCAGTTCTGATATGCTCATCATTGAACGAACCATAGCTAATAAGGTTCTATTTCTTCTTTTAGCCACCCCATTATTTTGTGGTGTGCCCGTGGGGATTAATTGAGATATGATACCATTCTTTTTTAAATAATTCAAAAATCATCTAAAAGGTATTCTCTCCCACGATTTGATCGAAGAGCTTTGATGCTTTTTCCAAGTTGCTTTTCTACTTCACTACGAAATTTCTTGAACTTTTCAAAGGATTCAGACTTATGTTTCATTAGGTACAAATAACCATATCTAGAATAATTATCGGTGAATGTAATGAAATGGTAAAAACCACCTCTTGCCATGTGATTTATTGGACCACAAACATCTATGTATTAATTCCAAAGCTTCTGTGGCTCTAATTCCTTTTCCTAGAAATGGAATTTTAGTCATTTTTCCTTGCAAGTAGGGCTCACCAATTGGATAAGGCTCAATTTTCAAAAAATCTAAACGCCCATCCTTGACCAATCTATTTAGACGTTCTAAATTAATATGACCAAGTTTAGAGTGCCACATGTAAGTTTGATTAACATCCCTTTTCCTTTTCAAGGGTAACATACTAGTGGATGTATCATACCTAACACAATTAATAGAATTATCAATAGGACTAATAAAATAAAGGCCGTCTATTAAAATGCCAGAATCCACAAATTTATTATTGTGCTTAATAACAACTTTCGAAGAAAAGAAAAAACAATATCCCAACGAAATTAACTTTGAAACAAAAATTAAATTTCCACAAATGTTTGGCACAAATAGACAATCTTCTAAAACTAGAGTCCTATTAAATGATAATTCCAAATAAAAAGTTCCTATAGAAACTGCAGCAACTGTTGCACTTATTCCCAACTTTATTAGCATCTTCCCTTCCTTAAGCCTTCTGGTCTCCTTGAACCCCTGCAACATACTGCAAATATGTGAGGTCGCACTAGAGTCTACACACCAAGCATTAGGAGGACCAATCAATAAATTGGTTTCAATAACAAGCAAATTTGACGTACCTTCCGAAGGTTTGTCCTTTTTCAATGTCGTCAAATAATGACGACAATTTCTCTTCCAATGGCCAGGCTTTCCGCAATGGAAACAATTTTCTTTGCTTTTCTTTTTATCTATGCTCTTTTTAAAAACACCTTGTGTTTTTCCAGAGAACTTAGAGCCCATAGATTTCTTATTAAAATTATTCTTGCCCTTTGGCTTGAATTTTCTAGGACCTTCCTTCTCACTGATCAACACAGTGGGTTGGCTCTTTTTAATAAGATCCTTTGCTACTTGCAATATATTGAGCAACTCTGATGGTGCAACAATCATCTTATTTATATTGTAATTCAAAATAAACTGATTATAAAAATCTGGTAAAGATGAAAGGATCACATCAATTTTAGTTTCACTATCAACATCTGCACCCAAAGTTTCCAGTATGTTAATGAAAGATATCATTTTCAGAACACGTTCCCATACTAGAGTACCTTCCACCATTTTGGTGGACATCAAACCTTTCATTTGGTGTGCACTTCTGCTCTGTTCTCCACACATTTCTTTCAAGTTAACCATCTTGTCTTTTGCAGTAGGAACACCCTCATGCACATTGGTCATTGAGGCCAATATGTAGCATTTTGCAACATCGTCCGCCTCATGCCACTTCCTAGCAGCCTCACGTTGTTCATCAGTGGCATCCGCCCCAGGGAGTGCAGATGGATCAGTGGTTAGGACATGGTTCAATTTTTCAGCAGTGAGGACAATTGTTAAATTTCTCTTCCCATCTGCATAGTTTGGTCCAATCAAACAATTATCATCAAGAATTTTGGACAAAGGATTAAAGTTGGTCATTTTGAACTGCATATGTTAAAAATTAAAAAGTAAAACATGTGTCAGAAGAATATAAGTATTGCATTGTATAAAAATCCATAGGATGTGGGATTTTGAATTTACTATGGTAATGCTCACTAGAATTATCATTCAAACAATCCTAAACATTTTATAACCCCACAAATATAACACTTATAGTTAAAACATTCGTGGTGAGCATTGGGAAACCAATCCTGCATGTACAAAAATTTCTTTTGAAATAAATGAACATACTTTGAATGGGTGGGTAGCTACTGCCCATCATAATATCATCTCATGTTATCATTTTTCTTTTTCGGTTAGAAAAATTAAATTTATTTATGACTCCCAATTTTTTGTTTTGGCCTCCAAATCAACTCAAATGACACCTTTTGATTACCGTATAGTATTTGTTTAAGTGCAAACCATTGTTTAGATACATAGCATGAACATTTAAGATTATGCCTTCATTTTAGCTGACACTCCCACTAGTCACACTTATACTTTTCACAAAATAAATAAAACAAACTAATTAATTAAAACCCAACCGACCCTTTTAGTATCATTTGAATCCCAATTAATCAGAATTTTTATTATGGGCATTATTTTCTTAAAATAATCCTATTCAACACTTGATCATTAAAATAGGGTACCAATAATATTTGTAACTAATTTATCCCCATAAATTAGCAAATTAAGTTACATGCTATCATACAGCAACATGAAACCCACTAAAAAACAATATATTTGTAATCATGAATATGGCTACATGCGAACAGTAAAAAATAAAAAGTAAAATAATAATTCCATGTGAAAGTTTGCCTTAGACCAATCCAGCAACAAAAACCAAAAACAAGAAATAGCAAGGTGCAAACTAATCATCATGTCCATTATAAACAGTAACTTTTTTTTTTAATACTGTTTGTAACTAATTTATCCCCATAAATTAGCAAATTAAGTTACATGCTATCATACAGCAACATGAAACCCACTAAAAAACAATATATTTGTAATCATGAATATGGCTACATGCGAACAGTAAAAAATAAAAAGTAAAATAATAATTCCATGTGAAAGTTTGCCTTAGACCAATCCAGCAACAAAAAACCAAAAACAAGAAATAGCAAGGTGCAAACTTGTAATGATTTATGTATTATTGATTGATATTGATATTTTGTATATATTGATATGTTGTGTTGAGCTCTCTCCTTTATAGAGGAGAGGGAGAACAATTTACAAATCTAAAGTAGAAGCACAAACCAAACAACATTATTAAAGGTACATTATTAAAGCATACTAATTATTATACTAACCTAATTATTAACCTAATTATTAAAGCAACACTTTACATAGTAAATTCTAACAGCCCCCCGCAAACTCAAGGGGGATAGGAACTAACCAACTTGAGTTTGGAGAGAGTAACAAAACAAGAAAATACATAAAAATAAAAATAAAAGATAGGAGACACTGTATGGTCGTGTCAGACCGTTGGTGAAGACACTGAAAGGTGGTGTCATAACGTTGTAGAGGACACTGTATGGCGGTGTCAGACCGATGTAGAAGACAGTTTATGGGGTCATGTCGGACCGTTGTAGCAGACAATGTTGTGACAGTTGTTGTGACAGTTTACGGAGTCTTGCTGGACCCTTGTAGAAACTAACCGGAATCAATGTCGGGACAGTTTACAGAGTCTTGTCAGACCCATAAAGGAGCTAACCGGAATCAATGTCGGGACAGTTTACAAAGTCTTGTCGGACCCATGAAGGAGCTAACCGGAATCAATGTAGGGACAGTTTACAGAGTCTTATCGGACCCATAAAGGAGCTAACCGAAATTAATGTCAGGACAGTTTACAGAGTCTTGTCAGACCCATAAAGGAGCTAACCGGAATCAATGTCCCTAGGACAGACCTAGAACATGGCAAAACATGCACAAAATCTTCACAAGACTAACCCTAAAACATGCTCCAACTAAGGCTAACACCCTAAGACATGTTAAGGCATAAACAAGGCATTACATGGCACCTATGCTAAGCATGCATGGAGTACCAAAACCAACTTGAAATCATGTTATATTATGGATATATAAGCATGAAAAATAGCCCAAACATGCTCAACACACACTCAAGCATAGGCTTCCTTAAGAGAC